CTTCAGAATTTTCTTTCAAAGCACTAATCTCTCTTTGTAAATCATAATAAAAATAGAGAACATGGTAGAAGCTGAGAAATAATTAAGAAATACTTGTATTAAAATGTAACTTAAAACTATAGTCGTAGTGGCAAGATAGTGTACAAAAATTCAAATACTTTAAATTAAATACAAGTAAAAAGAAATGCTAGAAAGTAAATGTTTCTCTTCTTACTCGAGATTAGTTTAGAGAATGTTGAATACTTGATATGAATATGTCTTCAATGCTTTATCAAGACTTCAATTTATAGGACACAAAAAGGAGAGTTGCACCTCCTTTCACCCATTGGATAGAGCTTCAAACAAACTCTAAGACAAAAGGCTTTGCTCCTTCTACTTTCATGAATGCTCATACTCTCTTTCAACTTTAGAAGTCTCTATGAGGTTAAAAAGGAAATTGAAATCTTTTCCAAACCTGTCTCGAAATCTTCCACAGTGGCCAGATTGTGGCCCAATCCAACAATGACGATTTTTGAACAAAATTAAATCATTGGATTTCATCATCTCTTAAAGACATTTTAGATATAAAGAAGGAAATAGAGGTAAACTGGGTACATAAAAATGTTACTAAATAGGAGAATCAAACGATAAATAACTTTCGAATTTGAGAGTTATCACACCTACAAACTTGAGATGTTACTTGTACTCAAGTAAAAGAAAGATTGAAAAAAGGGAAGAAATGGAACGAAGAGAGAAAAGAAGGGGAAATATGGAACAAATACTTATGGAGTTAGTTTCCAAAGGTGTTGAAACTTTCATCTAGCTTGGATGATGTACAACTTCCTTTCTTGACCTTTCTAGAGTTGAAATTAATTAGTAGGACTTTTCGGGGTTAGTGTGTGTGGATAAAGTTCTATTTTCCCTCCCCCAAACTTGTCTTAGATTACAAAAGGATTGAAATTTTTGCACAAAGCTTCACTTTTATTAACTATTTGGCTAGCTGTGAAACCCAAGTTTTGATTGCATTTAAAAACTAGGCTTACCATTTTGATTTTCTCAATTTTTTTTCTATTGTCTTCCAATTCTTTTTGAAGACATTTTTGCTTTTCAAACTATTGATGACGCTCTTTCCCTAAACTTGTGTTATACAATGTATACTGTATAAGTGTAGATATTAAATTCACTTGACACGGGGATAACCATTTGCATAGGGTTTTCTAATCCGGATAAAGAGTGATAAATTCCACTCACATTTTCCAAATTCCAATCATGCTTGTTAACTGTATTTGAGCATGCTTGATTTTGAAATATGACTTAATTTATGATTTGCAACATGGATCACTTGACTTGTTAAATCACATCTATTGTGACACCTTTACTATTTAGTCAACATTGGGGGCACGGGTGTTGAGATGTTTTCATGTGACTAAAATTATCATGACGTCCTCACTTATAGTTCTTAGAAGCGGACTTGACTAAACATCGGTCAATAGAAAGCGTATGGATCGATCTTAGGAACCATTATCAGAAAATAAGTTGTGGTTGTGGTTAAATCCACATAGAGCATTGTTGTGCTGTTTCCGAATCCCTTTCCCCACTTACACCCAAACAGATTGATCATCCTTGGGAACAACACATTCTCGTGATGTGGTTTGGTCTCTGAATCTTTGACATGCCTTCAGGGCATTTGTTTGGGTTTGATTTTCTTTTGAATTATCACTTGATGTTATATATTCTTATCAATTTATTATCTCATGTTTATTGTTAAATTACTATTATCCGTTCACTAAGCATTAAACCCAACCGGGGTTTTCTTTGTCCTCGACAGGTACATGAATTAGAAGGACCATTGGGATGAGAGCTATGTAGATGACAATATTAAAGATAACCCATCATGATCTACTTTTGTTAACCTTTTGATGTCTAATGTAGATGACATAATATGTATTTTAGGACAATATTTTGGTACATGTTATTTCTTTTCATGGTTTTGTAGTTATATTTTGGTAAATTATATTAACTACTATGTTTCAACCAGTAGGTTGACTTGGAATTGTTTCCAACCTAATTGTGACATCTTCCGTCCTTAGTCACACGGGACGAAGGTGTTATCTAAGAGTAGATTTTTTGGGGAAAGTCTAAAAAATCAAACGAACTATCATATTTTGAGCGATTAAGTCCCTAAACTATTCTTTTGAGCAAATAAATTATTAAAGTTTCTAACATCAAACAAATAAATTCTTGAACTTACTGAAACTGAGAAAAACCCAACAAAATTTCATATTTTGAGTGATTAAAGTCCCTTGACATTTTTTTGAACGAATAAATAATTACACATACAAACGAAAGCAATATATTATTTCTCAATCGATGTATCTAGATCAGTTACAAAGTACAATAACCCCATTCTCATTAATCATTATTTTTTTGGATTCAAATGTGAATCATAAAGAAATCTAATAATTATTTATTTTGCAGATCGAATAACTATCACCAAACCATAACAAACATTTGTTATTGTCATTCAAATCTGGAAAATAAACTAGGGTCAATAAATAAGGTGTATTTTATTTGTTTCATTGGTTTCTTGTACTTTGCTACTGATTTGTTGATAGATAGAAAAAGAAATGGTAAATCTTTTTTGTTTTATAAGTATAAGGATTTATTTGTTCAATAAAAAATATATCCAGGGACCTACTCGCTCAAAATATGTAAGTTCATTTTTTCTCGATTTAGTATGTTTAAAGATTCATTTGTTCGATTTCAAAAAAAATTACTTATTTATTTGTTTAAAAGAATAGTTTAAAAACTTAATTACTCAAAATATAATAGTTTTTTGGAAATTTTTGGTTTACTTTTTCAAATGTATTGTAACATTTTAAATTGTTAAGGATTTTCAAATATTGAATGGTTTATATAACGGTCTTTATTATATTATAAAACATTTATATAAAATTTTTAAAAATCATTTTTAATGTATCAAATGCTGTTTAATAATACATATTACTTAAAATTAAGATTACAAGGAAATTGTGCATGAATACAACTTTTTAAAGCTATATGTTTGAGTTCGATAAATATAACCAAATATAAACTAAATATCTCATTCTAAATATAAAGAATCTAAAATATAATTAAGATAATCATTAACTTCTAACAAGATACTTAATTATTATCATTATAGAAACATTATATTATTAGATCTAGCTAAAATACATTACTTCGTTATTAAACCTAAATTAAATTATACTAAAAACTTGAACTAAAAATTGCCTTTATAAAACATTATATTATTAGACCTAGTTAAAATAAATTACTTTGCTATTTATATTTATACTACCTTATAAACCAAATTTATCAAAAATTTTAAAAATAATTTTTAATGCACAAAGTACTATACATTTATGCACAAAGTCTTAAAAGTCTTAAAAAAACTCATAATGCATTAAGTACTACTACTTTATGCATTCAGTCTTAAAATATTTTAATCTACAATTAAAATAACATATAATACAAGTTACCAATGCACCTTATTACATTTTCTTTTCATGTTCTCAAGATACTTTTGAAACCTTTTACTCATGTATTCACCCTCTCATACCTCTATGTTTTTTTTTTCTCATCCCCCAATGTGAGATTCAAAATTAAATTCACCATGAGTTATTAAAAGTTCTCCCATTCATCTTCCATTCAATTGCTGTAGAACTTTCAATCTCGCTCTCTTTATTCTTTGTTCTTGGTGTAAATCGAACACATTTGTGGAGTCATTTAAATATGTTGGATTTTAAACTATCATACAATTTTTTTTTATCGATAGACTGTAATTGGAATCATAACTCTTATTTATTCAAATTGTATTAATATGTAAAGACCAAGTGTAATTTATATCACTATTAAATATTCTCTAATAAAACAAGTAAAACTTCAAAATCGTTAAAATTCACGGCTCCCGCCGCATTACATGAGTACACAACTAGTTAAATCTAAATCTAAATTATACTAAAAAATTGAAGTAAAAGAATTATACAAAAGAAATGAAACCTTCAAAATTATTATTTAATATTAATATCGAAATAAATTTTTATAGGTTTTTAAAATTTATATTTTATTTAAATATAAAAATATTATCGTTTTATTAAAATCATTGAAAATCGTTTATCTAAAATTGAATTATTTTTTATAATCTATACTATATTATAAAATATTTGACAAAAACTCTTAAAAATCATATTTTATACATGAAGTACTGTTTATTGATGCATATTACTTAAAATTCAATATTACAAGTGATTTTACATAAGGACAACTTATTAGAACTTCATTTTTAAATTCGTGTAACTAACTACAGATAAACATAATTAAATACAAGATAAACATCTATTTTAAATATAAAAAATTTAAAATATAATTAAAATAATTATTAAGTTTCTAACCGAATATTTAATTATTATCTTTAATAAAAAATTATATTATTAAACTAAAAATAAACTATTTTATTATTAGACCTAAATTAAATTATAATAAAAAATTAAATTAAATAAGTTATAAAAAACGAAAACTATTAAATAATTAATTTAATATTAATATCGATTTTATTTTTTTATAATTTTTTATATAATCTTTAAATTTATATTTCATTCAAAAAAATATTATCGATTTCTCAAAACCATATAAATTTGTATTATATCGATAGAGACAAATAATAAAAACTAAATATTAAAATAAAGATTTATCTCATTAAACAATAAAAAATAAAAAAATTTAATATCGAATTTTATAATGGCTAAATTAAGAACAGTAGGAAAGTTGTAGTGACTAGGGTTTAAGGGTTTCTCTGTTTTAGGGTTTTTGCTGAACAGAAATATTTCATGGTGCATAAAATCCTTCATCTCCTTGACTCCTTCTCCCACACGAGTGGCTGGGAAGCTTTTTCTCTGGGTTTTGCGAAAACGTCATCTTAAAAATGCAATAATCTTCGTTAAAATACTTCAATTTTTCGGACAAATCTATATAACCAAGAAATGGAGGATGTAGATGATGAGTTCGGCGATTTATACGCAGACGTTGAAGTGGAAGCAAGCTCAGCCATGAATGGTGCTCCACAATTTCCTCAACAACAGTTTGTAGGCGCTGAAACTGATAAACTGAACAGTGTTTTAGAAGCGAGTAGTGATAAAGAGGATAGAGCAAGTGATGGTATTGAATTTGATGAGGAGGACGACGACGATGATGATGATTTGAATATAGTCTTGAATAGCGATGATGATAGTATGAGGTACGGGGAAGGTTTTACGATTGGAAAGGCTAATACAAAATTGGGGAGTGGAGAGTTAGAAGATGAAGACGATGATAATTTGGGTAGGGAAGAATTTGTGGGAGGGAAATATGTAGGCAAAGCTGGGTCGGGTGGTGTTGGTGATGGTATTAGCCAGAATTTAGTTGGAGGGAAGACGGCTTATAATTCGCATTCAACGTACAAGGTGCTTTTCTAATCATGAACTCTGTTTGAATTCCTACTGTTAGCTTATGCTACTCAATGAACTGAACTCCGAATCTTCATTTTAGTTGAACTGAGTTTTAGTTTAACTTGCAATTGTTTTTGAATGTGGCATATGTGCTGCAACAATAGCTTCTGGTTGAGACAAATGTGTTAGGTTTTGTTTCTGATTAAATTCTTCATCATGTTATTTTTTTGGCGATCGTATTGTAATCGACTTCCAAGTCCTTAGATATGAGTAGCTGATCGTAAGAATCATGAACTGTTTAATTGCGTCATTAAATTATTTTGCTACTTGAACATATCTCATGTTGGTACTGATAGTCATTGAAATAATATAAGTGCACGATTTGAAATGCATTGTTTTTTTAGTATAAACTTCTAGTTGTAAGTTCTTTAAAATGTTTTGCTTTGCTATGGCTGTTCTGTGATCTATTTGGATTTTTGTTGGCAGTATCTAAGATCTCACTTGGCAGCATATGCAAGTGATTTAAAAGGAAGTGGATGTAGGGCAGCAGCTTATTTGTCTGGGGAGGACAATGGATATTGTCAGCGAATGGGGTCAAGGTCAATGGGACATCAAAGTGGACAAAGATTCTCACTTCCTCGGGCTAGGTGAGTATTAAACATACGAAATGGGGGTTAAAATGCAGCATCCATGTACTTGTAAAATTGCTGATCCAAGGTTAGAATGCTAGATAGTATCAATTAGGCTACAAAAAAAAGGTGCAATTCAATGCAAGCTGTCAAGTCAAATTAATGTTCTTATAAGATTTACTGTTTAGTGTTAATCTGTACTCCCTTTTCCATTTCTAGAGAGTAGATTCTGTTGTGTTTGTATATTAATTCTTCATTAACATGCCGGGATTTATATATGTTGCAGGAACATACTTGATGTTAATATTGATATATTTGAGCAGAAGCCTTGGAAGCATCCTGGAGCAGATATAACTGACTATTTCAATTTTGGGTTGAATGAGGATAGTTGGAAGCTTTATTGCAACCAAGTGGTAATAGACTCTGTTCTTGTGTAAACTTATGCAATGATGCGTGCACCACATATCTCAAGTTAGTCTACTTGAGGGTACAAATGACATTGCATTCTTGTTGGGGATGATAGTTAGTATCTTTATCTAATAAAATGTTAATTTTGGTGAGGTTCTTGTAAATGTTGTTACATAGCCTCAGACATAGGAAACTTATATCATGTTATGGGCAGGATGAATATCGTCATAGGTCAAGTGGGACGGCAGCCTCAGAACCTGCTCAATTAATGGAAGTGAGTTGAACAAAGTGTACCTTAGAGAGCCATAAGCTGTAATAATGTCTCTTCTATTACTTATTTGATTCAACTAATGTTTCTTAGACAAAGGCATATGGAGGTGGAATTGAGCATGAGATTGTTGCTCGTGATTCATGTGGAAAAAGTGAAACCAGGCAGGTGAGAGTAGCTTCATCCATGTTGAGATTGCCTTTTCGAGAACATGAGCTGGAAGGGGTTCACAGAAAGCAAAAACTTGGTAAGGGAAATTATTTGTTTTCAAGTGCTGAGGTTATTTACTGCATATCTCATTGTTTCAGAGAGGTCGAGCTATTCAGGTAGAAGACAGCAATGTTGAGCGTCAGTCATCCATGGATGTAAGGCGTCAACTGGATCGTGATTCAGATGTTATACAAGTATGGCTTTTAACCTAGTTTTTGGCTGAAGTTTTGCAGTGGCTACATCTCTTGTTTCACTGCTAAGAACATGTATGTAACAGATCACCATTCTGGATCCAGAGGAGCATTGCTCTGGGTCTGCCAAAGAAGGATCAAGCCATCTTGACGGTTCTGTACCTGAAGCATCCAATCATAGAGATGTTAGTGGGGATGATGGCAAGGATCATCTTTCTTTTAGTAGTGCAAGTGACGATGAATCCGTTGAGGGGAATCACCTGGAGATGGAAATATATGCCTGTAAAAGGTGTGAGCAATATCATGCTGGCGCATTGTTATTTGACTTTGTAATGCCTTACTTCTGCTCCAAGTTATACTAGTTGACATGATGGCTGCAATTCTAGATTGTATTATACGCACATCTTTTTCTTCAATTACTATATACAATCATCTCACAGCTTAAAGTTTATGTCCTATGAGTAGCACTCTCTGCTTCTACACCTACAAGCATGATTTTTGTTCATGCTCATCATGCCATATATTTTGGTGGTGGGTTGTCCTCGCTGTCTTGAGTGGAGTGGGTGTTTCTTGGTATGTAGTAAAAATTGTGAACAATTCATGCCTGCACATTGGGATTAGCATGCGCACAGGTTTGAACATATAACTGGTTACTGATGGTATTCTTGACTGGGGGGACACCAAAGGACTCTACCCTTCCATCCCTTGGATAGATAGAGAGGGAGCATAAGAAAGGAACGAAGATTTGCTTTACTTGTGCATATTTGGGGGCATGTTTCTGAAAATTTTGAGCAATTGTTTTGTATGTTCATTCTTTTTTATTTTCAATTTTCTTTTGGCTTTTTGAGTAGGTTGGTTTGTGGTTGCGCATATACTTTAATTCTTGTGCGTGTACTAGGTTGGCCAAAAAGAATGGAATTACTATTTTGATCGGTTGTTTCTCTAAATGCTCTGTGGGTTTTATGAGTTAGAAGAATGCATTTTGAACTTATTAATCTTTTTCTTTCAAGTATTACTGTATTAGATAACAGCATGCTGCAAACCCGGTTATAAGATCTCATACGGAAGACGAGCCTCGATCTTTCACTATTTAAAAGGTCTCGTCACAACAAGTCACAACTCAATTTGTCTAGTCAATGAAATTAAATCCTTGATTAAGAAGGCATTCTGTCTGTTTTTTCAATTGTCATGGTGGACAAGATCATGTTTCCCTGAGATAGAACAGCTCTCTGTCCCTGCTAAAGCATGGTCACTGCATATGTATTTTTTCTCTGTTTCTCTCCATACTGTTTCTCATTGGGTTGTTAGTCATGTTTTTGCTTCTGCTTGATGAAATCTCTGATTAAATTTTTTGTTGAATGTGATTAGGTCTTCCAATCTAAGAAGTAGCAATAAGCTGGTGACAAGGGGCTCCGAAAATCATGAAATTCATCAGATATCTGATGTATATGGACGTCGATGCTGTAAGATAGATATTTCTGGTTCAGGAGGAAGTGATGAAGCAATTAGAACTTCAGATAACACAAAGGAAAGGGCTGGTGAGGATACATGCACCCCAGACCCGTCCATGTTGGTAGTAGACTCATCCGAGGCAGAAAAGAGCCCTGCAAATCATTGCAAAGCATTTGAAAGTGGTACATGTATTAATAGGCCAAAATCTTATAGTCATGAGAGACGTCCATCGACAATCTCATTTACTGGGCTGACACCATCACCCAAGCATGGCTACCATCATTCAGAGGACTCAAAAAGACCAGATGACAAAATTGAACATGGTGAGAATAGATATCATGTAAGGCATTCTAATCGTGTACATAGCAATCGAAATCATGGAGATTCCAAATGCAAACTTCATGATGAAAATGATGACTCCTACTCAAGAAGGTTGGCTGACAAAACAAAACTTGGTGACCGTGGATATCATGCAAGATGCAATAGTCCTGTATATAACAATAGGATCCGCAGGGATTCCAAACCTAAACTTCACCCTGAAAATGACGACTTCTGCTCAAGAAGACCATATGACAAAAGGAAACCTGGTGAGCATAGATATCATACTAGATACCATAGTCCTGTATATAACCATAGGAGCTGTGGGGATTCCAAACTTAAAGCTCACCATGAAAATGCCATGTCTGAGATTGGGGGGGCCTATGGTGTGCGCTCAACAGTTGGCCATAACAGACGGAATGGGAAATTGCATCCTTTAGATCCTTATGATGAGGGAAACATATCATATTCAAGGGAATTGGAACTACCTTCAGGTAATTATGGTGAAAGGTTTTTTGTCTACGGGGATCGGGATACTTTGGCAAGAGACCTTCATCATGAAGGCTATGAAAGATTTGAGGCCAAGATGGATCTATCTGCTTTCAGAAGTTCAGATGAGAAGGAATATTATGGTGAACGAAGAAGATATATTGAGGATGACAAAATGATGGCAGGGGATTGGTGCCATCATGAAAGGGAACTTGCTGTTGAGCATGTAAATTTCTTCTCTAGCCAGAACTCGAAATATCCTTCCTATCTGAAATATAAAAGGGGTGCCCAGTGGAAAAGGAAGGGAGATAATCTGCATTTCAGAAATAAAGACGAAGATGATGAATGTTTTCTTGAAAGGGAATATCCTGACGATATACAAGGAGAAAAATTTAGATCTCTTACTTATAATGACAGGGAAAGAGATGATTTTGAACGCAACTATGTAAAACATGTAGAGTATACTAGATGGGAATTTAGAGGCCCTGGAAGAAACAAGAGGATGGCCAGCAGTCCATCTTCTGAATTAAATCATCCGTTGCTGAAAAGCGATGAAGATAGATACCTGAGATACAAGAAGGGTCATTCCTTTACATCTCGATCTTCTGAAGAATCCCATATTAATAATGACAGATGGCATGGTAACATGCCGCCAAGAAACAATTTATACGGAGGACATGGGAGATATAGAGTGCAATGGACTGGAAAATTTGGATATGATGGTTCTTTGCATGATTCTGAACCTTTTGATAGAGAAGATTACACGATTGATATCAATGATCGTGTGGATATGGGAAGATCAAGGCACCATTTGCAATCTGAAATGCAATGGGAAGAAGATGAAGTTATGTTGGGGAATGATGATGCTAAATTTTGTGATGAAAGAGCATCGTTTCGTTTTGATAAGGTATCAAGACGTGAAAGTTTTGTTTCTGAACATAAACCTGACCAGGTTGAGGAGTCAATTGGTCATCCACATGTAGAAAGGTGTAAATATGAACTGAGAGAAGGAGCTATTAATGATAAGTTTGAGAGAACATCAAATGTTACTTGTGAAGGGAGTCCTATACAACGATTCCAGGGGAGCGGGGATACACTTAAGTTTGATGGAACTTCAAATGTTACCCATGGAGGGAGTCATGAGCGGTTGTTCGTGGACGGTGTGGATTCACGTGTGGTTGATGGACTTGATATTGTTGAGGAGCTGATTCATGATTCGCATGCAGAGATTTGTAGATATACACAGACAAGAGAAGTGATTAGTGGCAACAAGTGTAGTAAAACTCACGGAAAGAGTCGTGAACAACTATCACTGAGCTGCAGGAATTCGCTCGATTCACACTTGGTTGTGGGGGAAGGAAAGGTAAAATCAGGGAAACTGAGGATAAAATATTGTATCAGTTTAATTGTTCATTCAAGTATGGCTATGGGCAAAACTTCTTCATCATGCTACTGCTTTTTCATTGCATGGTTTTATGAAGCTCCATTGATTTGACTTGTGCTTTTGGATCTCCTCATTTCTATTTGCTAATAAATGCTGACAGGGAACAGGTTTGCAAGCTCCATTTTTGTTCTGACAGAGCATTTGTGACACGGTTTTCTGGTTCCCCCAGTTATCAACTAGATATTGTTAAATACTTGTATGTAACTGTTATTATTATTTATATTATATAATTATTGTTTATCCATGGACTTTTTTGATAACTAGATTGCCAAATCCTTCTTTTTAACGGAAGGCGTATGACTGGATCATTGTAACTGTGCGTATTCTAATATACCATGGTCATAAGCTGTAGCTCTTGGAGGGCCAATAATACCAAGTTCATGTTGCTTTGTCATAAAAGGAAAAGCATAAGTTTGGTTCCTAATGTGTCTTTTATTCTAGGATATGGTTTTTTGACGCTTTGATATCAGTAATGAATATAATGCTTTGGTGACTCAGGGTTTCACATACGGAACTATATAATCTTTCCGATATGTCATATGCTAATCTGCATTTTTTCTATTTCGGTAATGTTTTCATAGAACTTATGGTCGTTTTGCCAATATTGCTGCAAATTCTCATCTCTCCTTACTTTGGATGTGCCTAAATAACTTGTGATAGGTCTTGAGAAATAATTTTGACATATGTTTGTGTTCATTTCTACTTCTCATCTAAAATGATTATAGGTTGATTGAAATTATTTTATCCTTTATATTGTGTATGTTAGCTTAGTGTTGGTCACTGTGTCAGGGTTTATCTGCTGCTCTAACTTGGCATCTTGCTTTACTTTCTGTTTGCATTACCTCTGTGTTTGGAAGTATGGCTCATGAATGCTATTTACTTAACGGGCCATTGGCTAAGATATACTCTGTTGATTCGACCAAACATAAGACTGAGAATACACACACACAGAGACTATTAATACATGCATTATGAAGTTTCTTTATTTACTTTAACCCAAGTCTCATAATTTCTGCTTAGAGGGTAGATTATGGTTTGTAATTACCTCTGAAATAGAAGCTAGTTGGGGATTCTCTTGATTGTAATCATATGTTGTATATTTTCTGAGTTTTCATGCTTGTTTGCTTTTGCAAATGCTTTCTTGTATTTCATCATATGCTCCCGACGTTCGATTGGGCTCTTTTGTTATATTACTACTGTTAGCATCATCTTGCCCCCATGCATCTAAACACATGGATAAAAGGCTCATATGAGTATTTCCTGGTTTTTATACCCTTGATATTCTTTTGTGGAAAGTCATCACATGATAACAAGTTTGCAGGCCATCAAATGGAGGAAAATGGTCGATGGGTTAAAATATGGTTTTTTTTTTTTTTTTGTTTGTTTTGAAGTATATAATATTTATATATGGAAACTTGAACTCACACGTTCTTCCCCTTTGGTGAGGCTTGAACCCTTGACCTCTAAGAAGGTTGGGTTACAAGGCACCGCTAGGAAGCCCTTTGGTTCATTTACATTATTTTTGCGTGCATAGTATTCTTATTCCTATTGATCTGGCAGTCTTAGTCATCACATATCAATGTGCTTCATTCGATCTAGCTAGTAATGTATACTAAATTATTCTTTCCTTGATCTTGTCTATGGTTGAATGAGAAGTGCCACTATTAAGTGACCAACTCTTGATCTTGAAATGAAGTATTGGTGAATGAGCTCAGGAGTCGGGAGCGACATTTTTGGCTTTGGACATTAATTATTTAGAGCAGAACTTCAGTTTATTTGTCCTATGGTAGCTAATACTCTATAGAATGCTTACTTAGATGTTTAAGGCATCATTAAAAAATGGTGGCACAAGACAGTCTCAAAACTTTGCATGATTCTATTCATTCCAGAGCTTTGGCTATTTCTCATGGTGCAATTTTAAGGATCTTCCTGAGAAGGGTCATTTTGACTTTGTACTCTGTTTGGCAGAAGTCTCGGTTGTACACAGATTTAGGCACACATACCTGTGGAGATGTTGTTACTAATACTTGTTAGGTGCTTTAAGCTCACCAGTTTATTTGTCTTGGCAGATTTGTTAAAGATACTGGTAAAATTTGATTACATCCGAAGAGTAGATATACCTATGCCTTGTTCATGTGAACATCTTTGAGAGTTGTCTTTGCTTACTATCCACTGTTTTTGTGATTACGTAACATGTAACACTGGAATCTGTAACATTTACTTGTGGCAATCAACTCTGCAGTCTGCTGATAAAGCGGAATGGAATGCTGATGAACAGAAAAAGCACGCTAGGATGGATTTCGACTCATGCCCAAGTGATAAGGTGGTGGTCCAAGCTGTTAAAACAAAAGGGATGGTTAAAGGTTTGGACATCGAGGAAGGTCAGATTCTAACCGAAGAAGTAAAAATCATGAAAAAGGACAGTGGGGCACACACAAATGATGTGAACGATCAAAATCCAAAGACGGGGTTTGATAATTCTCGAATTCTCGAGGCAATGGCAAAGATGGAAAAGCGAAGAGCGCGTTTTAAAGAGCAGATTACTACCACTAAGAATGATTCCGATAGCACCACTAAACCTACAGTTGTGGACTCGATTCAACAAAGGCCAGCTAGAAAGAGGAGATGGGGAGGAAGCTGAAACAATTGTCTGCTTAAAACTGACTATAACGGACACTCGGATAGCACATGAAGGTAAACAGAGCAAGACATTATTTCAATATTCCTGAAAACATATTATTAGCATTGAACATGATTCTAATACAGCTCTCTCTGCTAGTTGTTCAGAATCCTTGATGTTTTGTGAAAACAACAAGAGTTATCAGGATTTCTTCATGTTTACACATTGAAATCTATTTAGAAAATGATAAGCCATCTTTTATACTGATCTACCATATGATATAACAGATGCCTGCTGTTCTTTTCTCGATTAGATTTTCATATCGTTCATCTTTTATGGTATAACCGGGCATTCATAAGTTCGCGGTCGCTTTCTTTTGTTTGAGTTCAGCTTTCTGCTATGTAGACATGGGATTCTTCATGTGATCAGCAATGTTTTTAGAAAAAAATGGTAAAAATGAGTTGCAGGTATGGTCATAGAATTAGCAATGGATTCATTATAATCTGCTCATTCTTTTTTTGGTGTAGATTTTGAGAAAGCCTCAAGGGGTGGCTAAGGCTATATTTGGCAAATTAGATGCAACCTGCAAAATTTACTGTCCAACTGATAACCAAGCAGATAAACTTGTTACATTTGATAAAAACTAGATGAACGGAAATACCTAAATGGATAGGGCTTTTTGGTCATTTATATAAACTATAAGGGACATATTTGGATAGAATGTAAAGTGAAAATAGCTTTAGCTCACAAGCTATAGTTTATTGTCTAAAGAAAATTGCTTTCAATAAGTTTTAAAAATAAGTTAGCTTATCAAAGATGATCTAGACAGGGGAACATTCTTTCCACTTGTTTTTAAGGGGCTGTTTATTTAAATGTTTACCTGGTAAGTGTTTACTAATATGAGTTAATACTATAATTTATTTTGATGCGTAATATTTTAATACATCAAAACGTATTGAATGCAACAATTTACTTGAGTAAGAGTCGTCATCTTCACAAACCCAGTAAGACTCTTCATCATTCTCATCACTCTTATCCGGTAAGATTCTTGATCTTTATCATGTTCATTCGATGAGGAAATTTATCTGGTAAGCACTTAGAAAGTAAGCGTTTAGTAAACGACCCCTAAGTGAGAAGCCTAGGCTTGGGGCTATCAGGTGTAGTTCCTTGCTGCTTGGTGAACCCTTGTCTGTCAATTGCAACCTTGTCGTTCCCCAACTCTCCTTTGGTTATGTTCAGTTTTGGGTTCGATTTTGATAAATATCAAGATTTTAATTCATCAATATTGGTTAGGATTTCAATTTGTAAATTTATAAAAATTTTCACATGTTCTTGAGTTTTATGAATTCTGTTTTATAAAAAAATTCATGGAAAAATAAAGGCCAGTCATTAAAGTTGGTAAACTAATCAAAAATAATTTTATGTTGTTAGTTCAATTGACAATAAGACTTTAACCTTTATAAAGGTCATAAGTTCGAGTTTTGCAAAACCACTGAGGATTTTTTGACTATTCTCCAAGCTCTCGTGATTAGTTGAAATGCATACAAGTTGACTCACAGGGTCGTCTCTTAGCATGTTTAATGTGAGATTTTGAACAGGTTCCCCGAAATTATGGGCCCCAAGTTTACATGTGTTTAGGGTCTTTTATTGACCTGTGTAAAACTATAGCCGAAGTTATTTAGGTTCAAACCGTTAGTTGTTTGGTTTTAAGTTCAAATCATTAATGGTTTAGATTTAGTTTCAGATTGTTAATCGTTTTAGGTTTAGCCTATTTTTGTTCTTAACATATATTATTTGTTACTCATTTATGCAGTGTAATCAAAAGTTTTGGATGTAGCAGAGTTTCCAAAAAGATTGGAATGTCCCTGTTGACTCATATATGGTTAACAAAAATAAGTGATAAGAAATTCATTACATACATAATATGCGACGACGCTAAACACTTAAGGGGGTGTTTGGTTCACATAATGGAATTTGATGGAATTGGAATCCATCAAATGAATTTGACTTTGAAGGAATTAGAATGGAATTTGATGGAATTTGACCATGCATTTGGTTGGTAGGAATTGGAATGAAATCTCTCAATAGAATTGGAACAATCGTCTTTGTTTGAACCATCCCACATATCGCCCCACCCACACCCTACCAACCATTATGTCTCTTTTGTCGTCATCACATCTATCACCCCGCCCCAAACCCCACCCAACCGCCCCCACCACTCCCGCCCCCGCCTCACAATAGGTGGGGTTGTTGGGGGTAGGCAGGGTGGGGCGAGGCATTGGGGATGGGGTCAGTGGGTGACAGGTGAAAGACTATAGTGGTAGGATGGTGGTTAGTGGTGGTTGGAGTAGGGTGGGGGTGGGACATCACAAACAGTAGTAACATGGTGGTTGTGGGTGTTGATGGAATTCAATTCCTTCCATTATGCTAAGGAATGATGAATTACTTAACTTGTGGAATTCATTGGAATTTGAAGGATTCCATCCATTTCAAGATATKAACCAAACAAAGGAATGGAATTTGGTCAAAGGAATTTATCATTCCAATTCCATCAAATTCCTTCGAATTCCGCGAACCAAACGGCCCCTTAATGTTGAAGTTTGTTAATTGGTTAGCTGATTGTTAGATACGTACGTGGTTTTCTGTTTATTTCATTCTCCTTGTATAAATAGTGAGACTCTCTATTATTTTTCATTCATTCAGAAATAACATCATCTTCTTCCCCTTCTCTCTCTATGTTCACGACTCCCTGTTTTTTCATTCTTTCAAGTCTAAAATGGAATCAGAACAAAGTTAAGCTTCATCATCTGTTCTCTCATCACTGATCGATTCTTTTTCTCTTCTATCTGATTTCTTTCAATATCAATCATCTAATAATCTGATTTGTAATCAATAACGATGACTGAAAACCCTAATTCTGTTTCGACTGGATCTGGAATCAACACCAGTGGAATTAACGCCTCAACCTACTCAAATCCTTTGTTCTTGAGTCATACAGATAATCCAGGAGCAGTTATTGTATCGCAAGCCTTCAATGGAAAAAGGTTTGGTGCTTGGAAACGAGCAATGACATTAGCACTATCAGTTAAAAACAAATTAGGTTTTGTTACTGGTAGAACTAAGAAACCTGTTGAGGATGATCCAAGCTATGAAGATGGGGAGAGATGCAACTCAATTGTGATTACGTGAATCTTGAATGCTGTCAGTCCAGAAATTTCAGAAAGCTTGATCTATCATACTTCTGCAAAAGCGATTTGGAATGAACTGCATCATATGTATGAGCAGTCAAATCTTGTTGTTGTTTTCCAATTGCAGAAAGAATTAAATCTCATATCGCAAGGGGCTGATTCTGTGACAACATATTACACCAAATTCAAACGAATTTGGGATGAATTTGCTTCTGTAGATGAAATGCCTGATTGTAGCTGCACAGCAAAAGAAGCTTGGCTGAAACGTATGAACAGACAACAATTAGTTCAATTCTTGTTTATCCTAAATGATAGTTATGCTTCAACAAGAGGAAGTATTTTACACAGGAAACCTACTCCTATTCTTGCAGAAGCATATGCAATTCTTCTTCAAGAAGAGCAATAATGAGAAGTCACAGCCCCGATGAAGTTGAATATTGATAGTGCAGCAATGCATGTCAAGAATAATCAGAATAAATTTGTTGCTAACAATGATACGAGAAAAGCTTTGATATGCGATTTTTGCAAGAAGAAGGGGCACACTAAATCAAAATGCTATAGGCTGAATGGTTTTCCAAAGCATTTCAAGTTCACAAACTCAAGAAAATCTGCTGCTAATGTTACTATTGGAGATGAAATTAATATGAAGGATTTGGCTGGTGGAAACACATAATTGTTAAGCAAAGATTATAATCAGTTGATGAGCTTTCTAAAGCAATGCAAGGTTGTTGATTCAACTCATATTTCAGGAAAACCTGAAGAATCTGAAGATTCTTTCACAGAAGCTATTAATGGCTTTGCAGCATGTGCAAGTAATTCAACTTTGACTTCTTCTCTTTCAAAGCTGTGGATAATAGATTATGGGGCATCTAATCATATGTGTAGTCATTATTCCATGTTCACTTCAATCACAAAACTGTCTAAACCTCATAAAGTGTCTTTACCGAATGGTAATGTTTTGTTTGTTGAATATGTAGAAATTGTCTCTCTTTCGTCTTGGTTATGTCTTTCTCAAGTTTTGTTTGTTCCTACATTTAATTGTAATCTTTTATCGGTCACTAAATTCACTGTTCAACATCAAACTCGTCTTATTTTCTCTGATTTGGATTGTTGTATGCAGGACCCTCTCACCAAGAAGCTCTTAGCACTTGGTAAAAGAAAGGGAGACTTGTATTTTTTGAATCCTGAAGATCTCAAACATAGTTTTTTTTATGTTCATTTTGTTTCAAATCATGTTGTTTCTAATTTGTTTGATAAACTCTGTTCCTTATGGCATTTACGTTTTGGTCATATTCCAGTGAATAAACTCAGACACTTGAATCTTGTTTCTTCTAAATGTAACAAGAATATGTTTAATTCATGTTTTACTTGTCATAAAGCTAAACAACATCGATTGCCATTTCCTGAATGACATACCAAATCTATTGATATTTTTGATCTTGTTCATGTTGATGTTTGGGGTCCCTTTCATACTCCAACATATGATGGTCATAAATACTTCCTCACTATTGTTGATGATCATAGTCGTACCACTTGGATATATTTACTAAGTCACAAAGGGTCAGCCTTCTCAGTTATTCAATCCTTTGTTCAATTTGTTCAAACTCAGTTTCACAAAACCATTAAAATCATTCGTTCTAATGATGCAAAGGAATTAGGAAGTAGTCAAGAAGGGAAAACTTTCTATACTTCCAAAGGCATTATTCATCAATTGTCTTGTCCCTATACTCCACAACAAAATGGTTTAGTAGAGCGAAAACACAAACACTTATTGGAAGTTGCTTGTTCACTAATCATTCGGTCTGGATTACCCTTAAAGTTTTGGGGTGATAGCATCTTAACAGCAACCTATCTCATAAACAGAACTCCAACCAAAGTTCTTGATCATTGCACACCTTTTGAAGTTCTATTCAAATGCAAACTTGAGCTTCAACATATTCGTACTTTCGGTTGTCTTTGTTTTGTGTCTACTCTTCCTGTTAATCGACATAAATTCCAATCAAGAGCTAATCCACATATTTTTCTGGGATATCCTTTTGGTAAAAAAGGTTATAAAGTCATGGATTTAAATACCATGCAAATCTCATATTCTCGAGATATTAGATTTTATGAATTTGTTTTTCCTTTTCTTAAGGATTCTAATTGTTCTTCACCTT